TGTGGCTGGCTGATTCTAATTGGCGTTCAGGTTGCTTCGCATTGTGTAACACGTACCGATGGACAGAAATATCAATCCTACTTAAATCCCACCTCACCTACCAATCCGTTGCATAGCAGGATCAAAGAGAAATCTGTCGAAAGCCAATTACATCAACCGTATTAATTCGGGCACTCAGCACGACAAAAATGTCGCAACGATGTAAATCAATGATGAGCAGGCTAGGGGCCACGCGACGAATCATCTAACAGCCACACCGAAAATCCTTTGGGACCTGGCAAGTTTGCATCTTTTTTTTCAAGCCCGGAAGTTGATATTACCTATTCGTTAGCTAAGATTGGACGGATGGGTTCGGGTTTCCAACCACAGTTTGTTTCGGTGAAATCAAGTTGTACATTGACAGCATAAGAGAGGTTGGCTGAGTCATGATGTTAGTCTTTTTGAGTTGCGCGTGTTCCAAGTTGTGGCGCAAGGGCGTCTGCGTCTACGTCTGTCATCGCCTTCTGGATAACGGGTCCAGCCAGAATTGAAAATCATGACGTCTACCAAACAGATAAATATTGATCTTTCTGCCTAGAGTATATGGATACCAATTTCTAGGCAGGCAAGTTAACTGCTGTATTGTATTCGACATTTCGCTTATCTCCAACATCTCCAACACACACGTACGCATTAAACGCTATGCGAAGAAGGAAATAGAAAAATGGGTCAGCAATTAGCCCCTAGCAACAATAGACGTTTTTAGTAATTATAGCGTTGATGTCCATTTAGCCCCAGCCGACACTATCGACCTTGGTTGGTATACGTGGGAATAAATGTCTAGCACATAGCCCAGATAGCCCTGGAGAACTATATGCATACATATAGACACAGCAGAGAATGGTAGCAGTTGGCCCCATGTTACCGCATATTCATATAGGTGACCAAGTTAGAAACTAATCGTCGATTGGTCGTGCGCGACTTCGATCAGTAGACGCTAAAATTTTCATCATCAATTCCCAAGTGTCAAGTCAAATTGTGGTGGGGTGCCGCAGAAAGGTTTAAAAATCGGCGAATGACATTACTAATAGTAGTAATAGTAGCAATAGGGTAATTAGTGCAGACTGCACTCTATCCTGCAGAGAAGTCATGAAGAATGCAACGTGGACACAGTTGAACAATGCATGTCTAAACTAGACTTTCTACATACATTGATAGTCCTGGAGTATCTCTCTCAGAAATCGTGAGGTCTGATAGGTCGCGATGATACACTAGATCTTACGCCATCAGGTCATCAGTCAATTCTCTGCTGATAAACATTGCCATAACTATCGAGAATTACGTGCTCGTGCGACAAGGTTCGGTTGATTTGGTTGATCTAGTTCTGGTTTTGGTTCTGGTTGATAAACGAAATTGAACGAATCCGAATTGATTGAAAGAGTCTTGGTCGGTCTGGCCGAGGGGGAAACGACTGGAACACAAGCAGAACAAGGTTAATAATTTCTCATTTAAAAACTCAACAACCCCGTCAACCCCTTCCTAAACTGCCTAAAAGCCTTCGATTACCTTCCAATCGCCCTGCCGTAACATTATCCTCTCGGTGATATTCACAAGATAAACTGCTTCGGGTTTCATACAGGAAACTCGAGGTTAACGACGAAACAATCAGAAGTCCGGCTGAGTAATCTCAATCATGACCGCAATTACGATTGACTTAAAAAAGGTAAACTCTTCTCATCGTCTCTCGCTTCTCTTCGCATGAGACTTGTGATGTATTAGCGATAAGGGGAATTGAAAAGAAGTAAAGCCAAGACTTTAGCATCCCTGTACCTGCCCTGGTCAACCCGGTTGAACTTACCAGTCCGGAAGATGTACCTCGATACCTCTCCAATAGTCCGGATCATGTGATCGCTCTCTCTTAATATTAACCCGAATCTCTCCTAAGACTATTCCGTGACTCACGTGCCGTCCTATCACATACCCGCTACCACTCCATGATTTGGCATTTCTGACAATAAGCCGTCGAAGAACCGTGGATATAAGCCGATCTATTTTCTAGGTATGGATGACTAGATGACTTATCAAGCACCGAGAAGACGAGAAAAAGATAGACATGTTACTGTAACACCAGGACACATTGTGCAACACTCATCTCGTGTCCCAACAGGCGAGACAGCATAGACACATCCCTACCTACTTACCTACACGACCGTATCACAACCACCTAACCCGCAAACCTGTAACAGTTTGATAAACGATTTTCTTCTCTTCGATATATTATCGGACCGTATGGCTCCAATTAATACACGTTCGTCATACCTGCTGCAGCAGTGTTACAGATCCACGAGGGTCCATTACAGGAAGCTTGTTGCGGGGGCCTTCGAGGGAAAGAGCCATTTTCCCTCTGCTGCTGCTGCTTGTCTGAGCTGGTGACTCCACCTCATTTCCCCCACGCTTCGTGGAATTGCCCGGAGTTTAGGTTTACTTAAGGTGGATGGGTAACCACATGCATATGCTCGCTCGCGCATGCTTATTACCCAGCAAACATGTCTGGATACGAACATACAATGCGACTCGAGCAGGATTTAATCTCGAATGTTGTATCTCCTTCGTGGATGATGTCTTAGATCGATGAGCGCGAGAACCTCTTATCCCTTAGGACAGCCAACCATCATCAATACCAACTAACCTAACCATATTAAACACTATAGCATAACAAATACTAAGTAGTAGTGAATAAATCGAATGTTATCATCCTACTCGAGGTGCGGAACAGTATCTTTGGACTAGACAATCAGTATCGGGGAAAATAGGGTGTAAGAAGAACGCATCATTCGTCTATCGTCACAATTGAAGAGATTACTCGTGAAACATGTCTCAATCCGGATAGACAACTCGACTTCGGAAGATTTCAAGTGCCAGGTTAGTATGCGTGTCTCGTATCGAACCTCGAATTGAGCTCTCCCAATCTCTGCGCTTGAACCGTGTGGTTCATTCCTATCTATGAGAGAAAGTTCCAATGGCTGTATGTATCGCGCATCTATGTCTTCTGAAACCTCAGGAATTGTAACCTCGAAGAACAAATTCCCACCTCTCAACCACCCCTCCCCCGTCCCCTCCCTCTCCCACCCCGTCCGCCCCTCCCACTCCTTCCCCCCTTCTTTCCCTTCCCGCCTCCCACCCCGCTCCCAAACCCCTCGTACAGCCTCTCCGACGCGAACGCCATCTCCCCAAACCTGACGTAGCTAATCAATCCCCGATCCACTACCGCCACAATCGTGTTGCGCCACCCGTGCTTCAGGCGCTTGTACATCTGGCCCTGGTTATTCCTATTCTGATTCCCATTCTGCGCTTCTTTGGGGACCTCGGGCGGATCCCAGGGGGTGCGTGTCTCGAGAAGGGAAGTAAGTTGTTCCAGTGTTGGGACGGAGGAGGACCGCGCGTCGGCGACGGCGATCCGGAAATCCGGGGAAGGAAGCTTGGTTTTCGGGAACGCGGTGCTGCTTTTCCAGACGTGGAAGTGTATGTTAAATGGCTCTTCCGGCTTTGGCGTGTCCGCTTTCGGTTGTGGCGTGGGTTCGTGGCGCTGGATCAGTGCGAGTTGTGTGAAGATCGGGGTGTAGGAGCGGTAGAGGCCTGGTTTGACGAGAGGACCGAAGGGTGGTGGATTGGCCTGTGACGTTATTGATGTGGGAATGAGGGATATGAGCCATTGCCATATGTTTTGAGGCGTATTTGCGGGAAGTGGTGGTGGTAGAGGCATATGTGTCGCGCGCATGACCTTGTAGCCTGTTCGGCGGAGATTGGCGTAGACTTGATACTTTTCGAGGCTGACTTTGCCCCTTTCGCCGTCATTGCCGATGAGAAGTGAGTATGCTGCTTGTAGACTAAGCGGAACTCCTAGCTCGTAGTCCTCGATTTTTTGCGACTCATCTCCAGCATCGTTCTGGTCAACTTTCTTTTCCGGAAACACATCTTGGATGCCCCTCGCTGGCCACCATAAATCCAGTGATCCTCTCTCAACAAGGTACAACGCCTCCTCTGGTAACAGCCACGTCTTCAGCCATGCTGGTGTTCCCTTATACCCCTCGATCCCCGTAACAACTCTTCCCACAGTCTGACTCAACACCCCTTTAATCTCCTCCTCGACCACTACCACCCTATCTCCCGCAAACAACCCCGCGCCCTTCTCCCCTTCCACCTCCACATTCTCCGGTGCATCAACCCACTTATCGGGAAAGTACCATCCCCTATTCATGTCCCGCGGCTTGTGTGAACGCGTATAGCTCAGCACCTCATGCATAGCCTCACGGCTTGCCTCCAGGGCTCCGGCTTGCGCGCGCGTGCCATGGGCCTCAAAGTCCTTCTCTCCACGCCGTAGCGTCTTGCCGGATGCACCCTTCTTGTCGAAGAGAGAGGCGAAGAGCCGGAAGTCCTGGGTCTCATCTCCTAGTGTGTCTTCTAGAGATGGTGCCTCGCCATCCTCGCCTGTCGGGAGGACGGAGGGTGTGGGGTCTTCGTCGTCGAAGGGCATTTTAGAGTAGAAAATGAGAAATTGCGTTAGGAGCGATTCGTATGACGAGAATAAAATGAGTCAAGATTTGGAAAAGAGGCACTCCGATAAAGTTGTGTGAGTATATCACATGTCGAACTTGAATTTTTTTCGCTTAACAGCTTCAAGTTCACCACGATATTATGTAAGACATAAAGCCAATCAAGCTGATTTCAGTCAAAACAACAATTCTGCAAACTCGGATTTAGCTCAAAAATCAATCACGATGTTTGCTACTGTCTTTATTTGCCAACGAAATCTCGTCGAATATCGAAGCCGTAGATTTGGGTAAGACTCATTTTGATGTATTTCGTACATCCAATGTTGTATCGAGAAAGGACCCACTCACACTCGCACCTTTGCACCACTCAGCCCCCACCATAGCATCCAGCCAATCAGCGTCGTTCCTGCAAAAGAAATTTCTGCTCTATAGACGCCGTTAAGCAGCTAACCTTCAACAACCTACAATGGGAGTTTGGCCGAGTGGTTAAGGCGTTGTGTTTAGGACCTCTATGACTCTTCAATTGAAGTCCATGGAACATCTGACCCGCAATGGGAAACCGCGCAGGTTCGAATCCTGCAGCTCTCATCACATTTAACTTTTGCCATTTGTAATTACTTATCGTGTCACAAATCGCATTGCACTTTCTTTTTTTTCTTTGTCTTTCTTTTTACTTTTTACTTTTCTCACCTTCTAGACATTGAATCATAAAAGCCTTGCTCTGTCCAATGTTGATTAATACGTTTTTTACACTTTCACTTGATTTGTGAAGGAAGGCGGGGTAAATTCGATATTGTCGATCAAGTACCCCATTTACTCACACATCCGATATCACCGTACTACTACAAAGAATATCTGGAAGGGAGGGACGAGAGGGATGAGAATGATGCGAGGCATGCAGATATGATCCCCAAGACAAATGACTAGATAAAGTCAATAATCTCAATATCGTTTAACGCGTAAGCTATTTACCGAGTTGCCTTGCTTGAGCAGCCTCAATCAAGATATACTGTCGCCTTCGCAATGAATGGTATCAACAACATACACAAAACCCTTTGTGGCTTGCGGAATGCCTCGTCATTCTCTCACCCCCAGTCATTTCTGTGCGCCCCTCCTTAATGCAAAAATCATCGCCACAAGTGCAGGTGTAGGTATATATGTACACACAATCGTGATTCCAACTACTTATCTTAACTATCTTACCATCTACAGTTATGCAGATTGTGTCGGCTTCTCATATGATAAATTCAAGAGATGCGACGTGTGCTTCCTTACCACTCCCCCATTGACAGCCAGTCGGTGGGTAGGTAGTATATGATGACGATTTCAAGCTCGTAGTTAGAGGGGGGAATGTAGTCAAGAATGCCTGAGCAACTCAACTCTCCTTGAACGCCCGGGTCCGATGCGTTAGATCCCATTCTTTGGTTTTGCGCCATCCCGAAGGAAGATATCATATCCGTAACGCCGTAAAGTCCGTCGCGGTAGCGTACACCTACCAAATGCGCAGAGCCAGTTCCAACCAAATTTGCAAACCCTAGAACTCCAGTGCTTGCATCCTGTCCCTGAAAATCCCTGTTATTATGATTATAGAAAGAATTCGCCAAAGCAAGGCCTAGGTACTGCTCCTTGCAGACCACTAGGAGAAGAGGCGCTTTATGGTTGCATTAGCTAGTAAAAGGCGAATCCAGGTGGATTCGAAAGCATCCACTTCCCTCGACGAGCGGGAAATGTAAGTGGATGAATCGTCTGCGCCCCGACTTAATACCACTCCCATGGTGGTGGCACTTCAAGCTTCGTTCATGCTTAGATTGGCGTGACAGATCAAATGATAAATTTGGATCTTTCCCGCCCGCGAGAGCTTTGCTGCAGTAAACTGCTCAAATAAGCAGCTGAGAATGCGGAAGCCTACAAGGAAGCACGTTCTGATTGCTTCGACTCGGGCCGTCGTACCTCGAAGAAAATCCATCGCATGACGAAAGACTACGGCGTTCCGTCTTCCTCAGATAAAAGATCGCTGTCTTCATTCGATCAGTGGTTTCTTCTCTCCTCTTACTGTACATATTCCCAACGTCGCCATGGCGTGAGGGTCGCTTGCCAAGACAATATTTCTCGCCGGCAGCATCGGATTATTCGGGTCGACGGAGGAGGCGTCCTTTGCTGCTTGCTCAATAGCGTCCATCTCTTCCTTGCAGGCTTGATGATCGAGCGGGCATATGACGATAGGTTGTCGTAGCGTTATATCGCGCGCTGAAGTTAACTGCGCCTGTAATTCAGATTATTAGCATATTCACTCACTCTGCCTGTATCTCGATATAAATATTTACCTTGATTGTCAGATAAAACTCGATCTTGTATAGTGTAGATGTGGTCGTAAATGACGTGACTTCGTAATTCGGGAAAGCTGGCTGCCCTCTTCTAATAATTCCGTTTGCATCTCTTAAGTCCTTATGAGGAAAGATGATTCCCATGTTTGTTACATAGCCTGACTCCGGTAATTTCATTCCGATGTTCTGGGTATATTTCTGTAGCCTATTGACCTTCTTGGTCGGTTCATCTCCTTCGTGATTATATGTAATTTCCTCTTCGATCGCAAGTGTTATCTTCTGTACGGTAACTTTCCTTGCCTTGGCCATCCAGTCCAGATTCGGCGCAAGTTTAATGTACACTGTTATTGGGTCCATAGGTCCGTAACTCCACCTTGGAAGCGATATGCCGAGGGTCACGATATTGTCGGTAGTCGCAACTTTGTGCTCCGGTCGATTGTACATTCCGAAGGTTGATAGGGTATCATATCGCTGCAAGGGTACGGGGAATGCGTATCGATGCTGTATGCTTGGGCCTTGTTGTACGGTTACAACTAGTTCGTAGTATGTCTCTGCGGTTCTGCTAGGAAGTTGTAGCGATGCCGGCGGTATCCTCCTATTGATTTCCTCCTGACCTCGTCCGAATGGGATGAACAAAATGAACGGAAGGTCCATCGCCACAACCTGTTCAGCGTCCCTGCCTGTCGCGCATCGGTATAATAAGAGTTCCTTCCCAACAACATCGGTGGTATCGCGTCGAGGTGTGCCAAGGTGACGTTTGGCCATGTTTTCGGCGGCGGGGTGGATTGTTTCCCTCCTTTGGAGACATATTCGCACTAAAGAGATGGCGACAGGCGCGGAAACCCCCGCTGACGGTCTAATCTCAACCTTGCCCTCGATGCGCGGCTATGTACGTATGTTAGTATTGGTAGATGATTAAAAAGGAGTACTAATATTGCATGAATCTTGTCTTCGGTAATCGGCACCACGAATCCCCCATGTTGAAGAAGCGAAAATAAATAATGAGTTGGGCGAACGAGGCGGGAGGATGAGAGAAGGAATTGCGAAACTCACCAATGTTGCCGAGATACCGGGGTATCCAACTAGAAAACTACTATTAGGAGGGCCAGAAACCCGGACGGAAGCCTGTAGTCGGTCTGCCATCTTTGCGCGCCTTATCCGGTTGGTGGTAAGGGAATAGGCAAAGGTTCAACGTCGGCTTCGGCTAGGCGCATCTATCCTTCGTCGACGGCTACGAGCCGACGCCTTCTTGCGAAATGCGATTGTCGTGATAATCCTGAATAAAATATGGCGGGCATTACATGTCAGGTGTTAAGCTTCGTAATGATGTAGACTCGGCGATAAGATGAAATTATTGCCGAAACTGTTGTCGTTCAAGGTAATGCCCAGAATTCGGGTTATGACTGCTAGGTACAAAAGTGTTGTTTTTTCGAAGAGGTTGAGGACGAGGGATTGCAGATTGCAAAGGCGGGACGGGACGTAACAATTGAACCTGGGTTGCTAATGGAGACCGGAGTGGCTGAGGTAAGGAAACGCGAAGTTGGCTGGCGTTATAGGCAGGCAGCTGGGTTGGTGGGAGGTAGGATGAATAGGTCGGCAAGGTGGACAAGGTAGCTGGGTTGCTGGTTGTGGTTGCTAAGCTGCTGGGTATAGGTAAGGAAGGGTCACAGCCCGCTTTGACAAAGAGTCGGTCGGCGATTGATAGCAAAATCAAGCCGGGTACTATGTCTCATGGATCTTCTTCCAAGGTTCCCAAGTTCTATGCTCCCTAGGTTCCAAGGGGGTGTATGAATTCGAATTCGAACGTTGAAGTCGATAGGTAAGGTTATTTGCAGGTCCGCGAATTGGTCTTCTAGAACGTATGGGCCTAGGTAACTGTAACTTCCAAAGGGCCGCTTACACGCAGATAACGGCAGCCGAAGGAAGGTTAAAAAGTGCAATGCTCAGGTGTGGAGGGGGACATCTAGGACAATTAGGTTATGGGTTATGAGCGAGGCGACATCCGCCTATGAAATCCGGGCAACGGAAAACGAGCAACGGGCGGCGGATAATAAGTTAGTTACATTGATGATGAGATTGACATCGCTGAACTGGTTTCTGTTCCTTTTCCCTTTCCTTTTCTCCCCCCCTTGTTGCTTAATGTTTCTTAAGAAAGATGCTTTACCCCACAAGTTGATTGACTGGTAATCAGACCGTCAGATTGTTGAGCAAGTCGGGGATTTCTTCCTCTCGCTGGAGGTTCGGGTAACGAGTTGAGAAACCCGAAGGATAAAATTATCCCAAGGTTCCAAAAGTTGGAAACGTTAGGATAAAAACCTAGAGTTTTGAGAGGTGAGAAATCTGACAGATACCACCTGCCCTGAGAATTGAGGAATTGGAAGCTGAATGGGGAAATTGGCATCCTGTACATCCCTAAAGTCTAAGAAACTTTCCACCATCTGAATTACCTAGGATTACCTGGGATTACCTGGAATATCAACCAATAGACGGCCGTTCCGAATCGGGCGGTTAGGTACTAGGAACAGTGTGGAGTGGGTACCTACGACGATAAGGTACATCCAAACTTTGAAAGTTTAGGGCAATAATTTAGGTATCCACCAACACCTGCCTTACCAGGCACTACCAAGCATTACAGGCACCTCTTTTTGCACATCCATGTTCCAAGTTGTCCGTGGATAACAAATGAATGAGTTGGATCGATGAAATATGGACGCCGCTTCCTTTTTCGAATTGTGCAGATCTTATTTAGCAGTCGCTCGTCTCCTTTACTTTTGAATATGAATTCATCCGTTCGTATTCTCATATAAAGGAGAAGTATGTTTACATAAGTACTCGACATACATGACATACTCGACACAGTATGTCTGCATATGCTGGTAACATAGCAGACCAATGACGACACAAGCAAGCTAAATTGACGAAAGGTTCAAGCAGCGACCCTACAAAGTAGCCCGTACCTACAACCAATGCATGTACCGCACTGTACCTACAATACCGGAATCTAGGACTTTCGTCTAGCTCAACATCATGGTGCCATAATTAATACCACTAGGGTTACTAGGGATTTGTCACTGCAACCTTGGAACTTCAAATATACATGCTGTACCCCAAGTAGACGGCATTTGACAGTAGCCTGCGTAGATGGCGTGCCTTATTTTTACTACGTACTTACTTCAATGTTGTCAGTCATTCGATTGAGGTTGTTGCTTTTTTGAACTATCACTTAATTACCTCGGCAACGATAAGCAGCGCTCGGGTGAAACC